AGTTCTATTGTCTAATTGACTGTTTTGTCTGTTGTGTTAGTTCTAATTGACTGTTTTGTTAGGTCTATTATCTGTTGTGTTAGTTCTAATTGACTGTTTTGTTAGGTCTATTATCTGTTTTGTTAGTTCTATTGTCTGTTTTGTTAGTTCTATTGTCTGTTTTGTTAGTTCTAATAGACTGTTTTGTTCTGTTGTGTTAGTTCTATTGTCTGTTGTGTTAGTTCTATTGTCTGTTTTGTTAGTTCTAATAGATTGTTTTGTTAGTTCTATTGTGTGTTTTGTTAGTTCTAATAGACTGTTTTGTTAGGTCTATTGTTAGGTCTATTGTCTGTTGTGTTAGTTCTATTGTCTGTTGTGTTAGTTCTCTATTGTCTGTTGTGTTAGTTCTAATTGACTGTTTTGTTAGGTCTATTGTCTGTTGTGTGTTCTATTGTCTGTTGTGTTAGTTCTATTGTCTGTTGTGTTAGTTCTAATTGACTGTTTTGTTAGGTCTATTGTCTGTTTTGTTAGTTCTATTGTCTGTTTTGTTAGGTCTATTGTCTGTTTTGTTAGTTCTATTGACTATTTTGTTAGTTCTATTAGGTACAATGTCTATTTTGTTAGTTCTATTGTCTGTTTTGTTCTAATAGGAACCATGTTAGATCTATTTTTAGAAGTGTGCTAGCAAATCGGACAATACAGATCTATTTTCATTACATGTTTTATTTCAAAACACACTTAGTCATCGCTAGTTTCATTTCAATCACACTTAGTCAGCGATGGTTTCATTACAGGTTTTACGATTATGCCCTTCCAGATGACACCGAGAACATTTAACTGGCCGGGTGTAAACAGTTCTGTTGTTGATTCGCCTGGTCTTATTTCTCCCTTTCCTTTTTGTTGTAATTGGAGGTAGGATCTGTATCTCATCCCTTGGCACGCTGCGTTTCTCGTAGTCAGGTATAGGGTAGATGATAGGCTCGTAGCTCCTTTTAAAGGCGTCAACCGTCATAAACCAGTCACAGAATTGGTAGACATCCCTTTTTATGAACATAATGCTTGCGCATGCATGTTTGCAAGGGACACAGGTTACATCCCACCCACGGCAAGTGCATGTTTTATTGTCTAGATCCACTTGACAAGATCTATGGGATTGTACTTCAAATAAGCCTGTGTGGGACTGACGAACCTCCAACGGGCGTCCATTATCCATGTTCTCCTTGAGGGCAAGTTCAGCTTTGGGGCAAAGAACTTGATTCCAACTTTCAGCCATGACTCGTCGCTCATTCATGCGCACCATGATCTGTTTACGAATATGCTCTATCAGTTGGAGTATCCGTAGAAGCCTTGCCTCATGAATCCATTTGTTGAATGACTCTGCAACATTTGATGTAACGTGACCATATCTAAACATAGACAGTGTTAGTTCTATCTACTTCTATTAGTTATATGTAAGGTAATCAAATGAAATATTACTTGCCTAACTCCAGGAAAAAACGCATTGGCCCAGTTTTCTGGAGCATAGTTCATCACAATATTGTATGCACGCTCGTCAATTAGTCTGATGTCGTCCATATAATCATTCCATTCTGCTCTAGTATATTTGTAACAGGCAGATTGCAGTAGATTACCCAAGATCTGAGAATCCTTTGACTTGAATCCCAAATCCTTCAACTTTGTTCTGAAGTTCTCGACCAGATGCAGCACACAGCGAGAGTGTATAGAATCGGGAAAAAATTCTCTAACTGCTTCTCTGATCCCTTTATCCGCATCTGAAATTATCACTAGCTTATGTGGAGGGTTGTATGGATCTGCCCTTTCATAGAGAATGGACCACAGACCTACAAAGAGTATTGGTTAACAGCCCTTAAAGTTAACTACGAAGGAGATAGAATTATAATAGCGATATTAGAACTAGATTTCTGAAGTGTTAGTTCTGTCAGGTGTCGTGTCAGTTCTAATATTTTGCCCGTTAGTTCTATTGTTCATTGTGTTAGTTCTATTATTTCTCTTGTTAGTTCTATTGTATGTTGTGTTAGTTCTATTATTTCTCTTATTAGTTCTATTGTCTGTTGTGTTAGTTCTATTATTTCTCTTGTTAGTTCTATTGTCTGTTGTGTTAGTTCTATTATTTCTCTTGTTAGTTCTATTGTCTGTTGTGTTAGTTCTATTATTTCTCTTGTTAGTTCTATTGTCTGTTGTGTTAGTTCTATTATTTCTCTTGTTAGTTCTATTGTCTGTTGTGTTAGTTCTATTATTTCTCTTGTTAGTTCTATTGTCTGTTGTGTTAGTTCTATTATTTCTCTTGTTAGTTCTATTGTCTGTTGTGTTAGTTCTATTGTCTGTTTTGTTAGTTTTATTGTCTGTTGTGTTAGTTCTGTTATTGATAGTGTTAGTTCTATTATCTGTTGTGTTAGTTCTAATATTGATAGTGTTAGTCCTAGTGTCTGGCGTGGTAGTTCTGTCCACCTCAGTTTTAGATCTAATGTGCAGCGTGATAGTTCTATTTGTTCATTTTTAATAGCTGCATTTGATTGTGGTGTGTTAGTTCTATTTTGTTGGCACCATCATGTATAATGTTGGAACTAACCTTGTAGGAACCACTTCCAGTTAACATTATTTTCTTGATCGCAGATACAATAGGCCAATGGAAATATCCCCTGATTGCCATCATATGCTACGGCGCTTAATAGTATACCTTTGAATCGATCTTTCAGAAAGGTTCCATCCAAAAATATAAGTGGTCTGCAACCTTGTAAAAAACCATTTATGCAGGCCGCATAGCAGATGAATATCCTTGTAAACCTACCCTCGTCTTGTTCAACATGAATGTAGCTTCCCGGATTTGTCTTCTTAACCTCGTCTACATACCTAGATAATTGAAGATTAAGCGTTAGTTTCAACATTATAAAGTTATGAGACTTATAGCGTCATATAAATGAAAACAACAGCAACTTGTGTATATATGATCTTCTGATTTACCATCTCAATTGATCGTAGGACTCATAAGCATCACCATATAATCGCTCTTGAGCTCTTTCTTTACCCCACCAAATCTTACTATATTCAACCCTAATCCCATATGAACTTAGAAACTCCTTCTGAACGTCAATAGGTCGTATATCCGGACGTACCTTCAACGTGGGTTGTAATTGGGTAGCAATGAAATGACGAGAGGCTCTAGATTGACCTGCATTATTGGCATGTTGTCCACAGTTGTGAATGTCCACGAACCTTTTTATTTCAAGTCTATTATCATTTTTCGGCGGAGAGGCAAATAACATCCATGGGCAATTTTTGGCTACCTTAAACCGGCAAAAAACTCGAATACGCTTTGGTTCATTCTTCACAAACTCATATTCGAATTTTTTGGCCATGGAGTAGTATAGCAAGGCCAATCTTAACTCCTTCGCACTTTCAAAACGTTGCCCCTCCCCAGTTAACGCAGTGTGCCACCAAGCAGGAATCCTCTCAGATCTGCTAATCATGTCATCAATCATCATAACATTATCTCTTGAAGGAATGTCATTGGGATTCTTATCTGCAACAGTTGTGGACGACAACTCCGGCGGGCCACAGTCTATACTTTTCGAGTTTAGACTTCTGGAAGCGCTACAAATATTAACAACAGGAAAATAGTTAATCATAAACTACACAAATAAAAGTGTTGATAGGGGTCTAACACGCTTTAGAGTAGCTCTACCCCATATGGAACTGGTGATAGAACTAACATACAATCGTGTAGAAGTAACAAAATAGCTACTAGAACTAACAGAAACCCCTATATGTATTAATAGAACTAACATGCATGCAATCGTGTAGAACTAAGATGCATGCAACCCATTTTTAATTAACCCTTTTTTCCGTCTACATTTTCCTTGGGCTAAACATGGTCGAGTAAGGCCCACGTGTAACCCACTCTCAATAATGGGATCCACAACGTAATGAGCTGTGCCAGGCCTTTAATCTGCAAAAGGCTTTTCCTTTGCACCCCCATTTTTAATTAACCCTTTTTTCCGTCTACATTTTCCTTGGGCTAAACATGGTCGAGTAAGGCCCACGTGTAACCCACTCTCAATAATGGGATCCACAACGTAATGAGCTGTGCCAGGCCTTTAATCTGCAAAAGGCTTTTCCTTTGCACCCGTGGGGAATGGGAGGAGACGTATTAATTATATGGCAGGGATGAGAGCTTAAATGAGGGGAATTAAACCTTCTGCGTTTCTATCAAATCGTGTCACGTGACGCATGTGCTTTGGCAAATAACTGTCCTTTTAAAGGATTAGTTAGCTTGTCAAGACTTACAAGCAACCAAAAGTTGGTCTAAAGTTACAACTAATTTCTATACGATATACAAATACAAATTACAGTGAAGTTAAAGCATTAAAACATGTTAGTGTTTAGCTGCCTGATGTACGGATAAAACTCATGACATGCACATTTGTTAGCTTCCATTTTTAGAAAATAGAAATATACTAGTTCAATGTTTGCCTCCCTCTTCTTTGGGAAATAAGGGGGTGTTTGGTTGCACAATTTTATAAAAAAGTTTTCTCAAAATGTCTGACAATGGAAATTCTATAATTAATTTTTTTTTTGTAGATTTTCGTAAACTGTGTTTGGTTCAAAAAATTTTACAGAAATGTTTTCTATAAAGTACAAAAAAGTACCAAAATTTACAGAAATCAGTTCCCTCTCAAAATGGGCGGAAATCACCCAGAAATCTGACACCACATTGACATTTTTCTATAAAGTTGATACTTTTCTGTAAAATTAGGGAGTGTTTGGTTCAATTTCCACAAATTATAAGAAATTTTGTTATTTTCTATAAAGTTATGTGTCATTTTCTTGTTTTGAACCAAACAAGCAAAGCAAAAAAACAAGAAAATCGGTACTTTTTGACTTCTCAAAATTTTTTCTATAATTTTTTAAAGAAATACAAGAAAATCATATTCTGGGTGAAAAATATTTCCTATAATTTGTAGAAAATGAACCAAACACCTCCTAATTGTAAACGTTCTCGATGCTTAGTAGACATTTTAAAAAAAGTTTAGGTTTGCTTTGTCTTTGGGCTGTAAATTGATAGCAGAGGGCGGCTCTTGGGCTTCTCTACGGACTGTGATGGGCTCCAGAGCACGATTTTTAAATAGCTTTTGAATACGAAAGTAGCATTCTAATTTTTATTAGTTTCTATTGTTGGGCCTCAATAATCCTATAACGTTTTTTCGAGCATCGGGCTATTCGTCCACGGACAAATGCTTAAAGTAAAGTTATATGATATAGAGGCGACTATAATTTACTAAGTTACTTGTGGGGGAAAAATAAAATAAAGTGATATTTGCAATAAACTTCTTCATCCGAGATGTAACATCCCTGATGGAAAGTATCCTTAGATCAAGGATGCTCAAATTTTCACTAGAGCAAGAGCTATATATGCTATAAAAGCATTCCTACTTTCTTCTCGCTTAAAAAGAATTATTTGAACATCTCAATGGTTGGCTATTTTCTACCATCTTGATTGTGAAGAAATCTTACAATCAGCTATGCGGAACAATAACATTGGTTCATTAAATAATGGGGTGTTTAGGAAAATGAAAGTGAACTAATCCTTAAAAATAATCCCTAAAAATATAGTTGTTATAGCTGTTTTGGTGTTTAAAAATAATCTCCAATCAATGATAGATAAATGTCCCATATTATGCAAAATAAAGTCAGCATCTTTAGATAATCAGAGGCACAATTCGGTCGACTCGACAAGCCGACATCTTGCGGGGATGACTCGGAAGACGTCACATGTCGACGACCCGAAAGGCATTACATGCCGTCCCCTGACAATGTCGAATGCTTAATCACTCCACTCAGCCGACTAATCGGCCCACACCTTGCAAGGACGACTCAAAAGGCGATGCTTCTCGACCACCGGATGAGTAGAAAGACGATGAGATGCCTCGAGCCTCGAGCCCCCTCCTGTGCACTGATGACTAATTACCTCGCAATAAATGTCACTAAATGCATTATGAGCGTCATCATTCCTCTTCCCCCCAATAGTCTTTATGACACGTCCGACCACGTCGGCACCGCACACCCCCAATTACTTCGCATTAAATACCGAAGTGACCTCTTTTCAATTCGCCGACCGATACCTATAAAGCTGAGGCTGACATGGCCGCCATCCCATACTCGGCCGAAGTTATCATTCTACTATTCTACCACTACTATAAATAGAGATACTATTTTCAATAAGAGGGTAAGTTTTCTACTACTACTCACTGTGTTTAAGAACGACAACAGTTCATTTTTACTTCTCCACTCAAGCAACTCACTGATTTGATCGTCGGATGAACAACCGAGGATCCCAACCCCGCCCTCTAATGATTTGTCACTTGCGCAGGGAAGAACAGCTTACTCAAGAACTAGACATTCGGATAGTTAAATGACTTTCGTCAACTTAATCACTCCTCTTATTTGACTGTATGATTTCATACATCAACAATAATGTTTATTTGTAAAATAAATAATTATTAAAAGTAGCAAATTGAAGATGACGTGACAATTTATTCATTAAATCATTTTTAAAATCATTTTCAAATTAGTTAGATTATTTATTGCCATCGTTAACCTATTTTACCTAAATTAAAAGTTTATTATTATTAACCTTGACAAAAAGATTGAACTCCCAATAAGTTTTTATTTATGTCAATTCATGTGCATGTTAGTTTTGAGCATAAAGGATACATGAGTCTGTTGAAAAAAAATGCCAAAAATATTGACCGCAGGTGGTGGGAAAAAAACAACGATGCCGTTGTTGTCCCAAAATTGCCGAGATAATACGGAAGGAATAAAACTAATGGAGTGATGAGAAAAAAGTAATAAATTCGGTTATGGTAATAAAAAAAAGTACGTATATTAATTAATATGTTTTTCAATTAAGAGTTGTCCCCACTTTTTTCAAATTCATCTAATTTCAGCACTTTTTTAAAGAAACTTAAACATGCATTAAATTAAATCTGATGTGGATTATATATATATATATATATATATATTTTGACATTTCACGTTTACAACCACTTCAATTAAACAAACACCTATAGTGTTAAATGCATTTTACTTTTATACTTTCATCTCCCGCTTTTGTACAAACAAACACCCCCTAAGTTCGCAAGCAAAAAGATAATATAACTTGTGGGATCCACATAACAAAAACATGTCATTGGTGCTCATAAACAAGTTACAGGATCTCTAAGCTTAATATATGCATCTCAGACATAAGAGAGATGGTTACTGTCACCCTTTTTTTCACTATCAAATTTAAATCAGTACAAAAAAAAAAAAAAAATTAAATCAGCATGAGCAAAATACTACATCGATGCAAGCATAAAGTGAATCAGTACCACAATTACCACCTTTAAAATTGATATTGAAGGACTTGTGAGCTTCATCAATTCTCTCTCTTCACGTTTCCAACGTCATTGTTAACTATGGTAGAGTGTTTGTTACCAGTCAATAAAGTTGTTGTTTGTCTACATCACAATGACATGCATACAACTTGTGAAGATGGACAAAATATGAGTGAAAACTCTACAAACTTTAGAAAAAATAACAACATCATGTGTCGATAAAAGCCCATACAAGTCTTCTCCATTTTTTGACAAGACTTGGAACACCAAAAGTAATCGTATGGCTCAACCATTTCTAACTACTTGGATCTCTCCAATACTCAAAACGGGTGGGCTAGTGAACCAAATCCAACCCTACCTACCTTCCAACTTCGCTCGTGGGTTTAACTTTTGACAACGTTGGCATTTGAAAGGGAAGCTTCTCTGTTTAGAGTTTACTACTTAATGGACACATGTGATTCCTATAATCTAATGGTGATTAATTTATATAAAAATTTTGGACAAACTTTAGTTACATCTTTGTCTCAAAAGACCATTAAGGAGTTGTGTTTGACTGGACGTGGATATTAATAGATGGTTTCTCAAAAGACCATCAACTATGATCAATCTTATTATTTTAGATTGATATATATATTTTTTTTTGGTAAATTAATAATTTAAATTTCATTATTTCGATGTTTCTAGCTAGATTTATGGCGAAGTTAGTTATGAGTGTAAATAGTTCAAAAGCACAAGTTCATTTAAGAACACATGTGAAAGGAGTACGTATTAACTGGGATACTTGTAATTAACTTTATAATATGTGAAAATATATAGATTGATGAATAATCATATTTAGAGGATAAACCCAATAGGTTTAGATGATATATAAGTCCCACAAAAAAACAAAAAGCTTCATTAATCTGTCATTCTTAAACTCATAAAGCTTAATTATCAGTTTAATCAATAGTTTTACTCTCATCTCACCATATAGCCAACACCCTACCCAAGAGCTTATCAGCATGAAATCCAGACCAGACCTCCACGGATCCGGGTGCGAATCCAGTCGAAATCCAAACCCGCAAAAGCAACCGCAGCTGAGATAACCACCCTCAACTACTTCCCTCCAATTCACTCACCATTTGAACATCAAATATCCTTCACCATTTCAAGTATCTCCCCACAACCTCACTCTTCGGGAAAAAAAAAACTTCAATCCCCTCTCTCTTCGACCTTAACGGGTCCCCCATCCTGAACCCGAACCATGTCGTAACCACCCTCAACTACTTCCCTCCAATTCACTCACCATTTGAACATCAAATATCCTTCACCATTTCAAGTATCTCCCCACAACCTCACTCTTCGGGAAAAAAAAAACTTCAATCCCCTCTCTCTTCGACCTTAACGGGTCCCCCATCCTGAACCCGAACCATGTCGT